GTCATACATGCAGATACACACACTGACATACATATAGTTGCAAGGACATACTTAAACACACACTAACACCAGGGCCGGATTAAGAGCACAGTGGGCCTGGTGCTGACAATTATGATGGGCCTAATTATGGAATCTTATTGACCAAAAACACTAAAACAATTATACCTCCCGAGCGTCATGTATCTGATGGAGATGGTGCTGGAGGGAAACTCATAGAATGCAGCTATAAGAAAACACATACTCTATGCTAATTTCTCTCTAATTTATGCTTTCATCTTTCAAGTAAATCCAAAACCCCCTAACAGCAGTGTCCAGTGAAGCAGGAAGTCAATGGGCAGGGTAAAAGGGTGTGCCACTGGCGCGAATCACGTGACAAGACCTGCCAAAAGGGGGCATGTTTGTCCAAACAATTGGAAGGTCAGCCTGGCATGAATGCATGTCAGGCTGCCTGCCGATCCTGCAGGCTGTCCAACTAAGGGCATACTATGCAGGCAGCACCTTGAGCTTGACATAAATGCATCTAATGATGCACTCGCTCCATGCTTTCTAAGGACTGTCCCCTAGCACTCGCTGGTCCACTTGTCTCCTTACCTTCTTACTAGCAGGCAGAAGTTCTTGGTATATAGTCTGAGACAGAGAAAAGGTGTATGTAGTGAGTGTAGTGTATGTAGTGAGTGTAGAAGAAAGGGGACATGCCACAGAGACCAACGTCTGCATTACCTAAACTAACTTTAATGTCAGCCAGTGCACACAAGTTTTGTTCCCATACATCCCTCTTAAGCTTCCAAACTTAAAGGGACACTATAGTCACCAGAACAACTACAGCTTATTGTATTTGTTCTGGTAAGTAGAAGCATTCCATTTAGGCCTTTTGCAGTAAACACTGTCTTTTAAGAGAAAATAACTCCACTGGCCGCTCCTTAGATGGCTGCTAGAGGTGCTTCCTGGGGCAGTACTTCCTAGTCTGCAGCACTGCCATTCAGTGTCTCCACCCTCTGCATGCAGACACTGAACTTTCCTCATGATTGATTCAATGTATCTTTATGAGGAGATGCTGATTGGCCAGGGCTATGTTGGACTTGTGCTGGCTCTGCCCCTGATCTGCCTAGTTGACAGTCTCAGCCAATCCTATGGGGAAGTATTGTAATTTGCTCAGATCACCACTTCTGAGCCCGCAGCTACAGACTTGAATACAGGGTGTTGGTTTTAACATAATAGGGTCAGAAATACATGATTGTGTTACTGACCCTATAGTGCTCCTTTAAGCAAGAATATGTGAAGCGTAGTTAAGGTTGCCACCTTTCTTGGAAAAAAATATCAGCCTTAAGCATTTGTATAATTAATTGGTTATGCGTGACATCACATGATGTAAATCACAAGGAGTGACAGTAGAGAAAATTCTGTAAAATCACCAACAAACTACTCACAGTTTGATTCTGCTGTATAGATGGATTGCTCCCAGTGTCTCCCAGTGTCTCAGTCTCGCAAGTCACCCAGTGTCTCAGTGTCCCTATGTATCACAGTGTCAGTGTCCCCATGTCGCCCAGTCCCCTAGTCTCCCAGTGTCTGTGTCCCCATTTCTCCCAGTGTCCCAATGTCTCAGTGTGTCCCCATGTCACTAGGATACTGGGGACACTGAGAGACATGGGGACACAGACATTTAGGGAAACTGGGATAAATGGGGACACTGAGACACTAGGGACACAGACACTGGGAGACATGGGGACACTGAAACATTTGGGGACACTAAGACACTAGGGACACAGAGACATGGGAACACAGACACTGGGAGACTAGGGGACACTGTGAGACTAGGGGACACTGGGAGACAGACACTTGGGGACACTGGGAGACATGGGGACAGTTGTGTCTCAGTGTCCCCTAGTGTCTGTGTCCCCATGTGTCCCCCAGTGTCTGTGTCCCCTAATGTCTCAGTGTCCCCATATGTCCCCTAGTGTCTCAGTGTCCCCATGTGTCCCTGCTGCCTTTCCCCCATCCCTCACCTGAGCTGTAGAGCTGCTGTCTGGACTCTATGCTGTGTAGCTGCTCCCCCACAGATCAGTGAGTAGTAGAGAGAGGCAGGGATATCCTGTAACTTCCTATACCTGCCTCTCTCCACACACTGGCCGGTGCTGGTATTGCAGAGTAATTTCCATTTATTCTGAGAAAATTACCTGCATTTGTATTGCTGGTATTACTGCAATACTTGCACGGCAACCTCAAATACCAGCTGTGCAAGTAAAATACCAGTCAGGTGGCAAACCTAAGAGTAGTGTGTAAAAAAAAAAATGGGCCTATTTTGCGGAAGTTCGCGTTGTACAGCATCACGGATGGATAATCAATTGGCGGAAGAGCGAATTAATCCGATCACAAAAGATGACCTAGAGCAGCGGCTCCCAACACATGGCATACACACACACACACACACACTGCATCCCCAGCATACACACAGACACACTACATTCCTAGTGCACACACAGACACTGAGCAGAATAGAGACTGTTCCCCCTACATAGGGTCACTTGGCAGATATGGATTGACACCTGTCCTAAGGATCCCTGATACACACTGACACAGAGCAGAATAGGGACTGTTCCTCCTACATAGGGTCACTTGGCAGATATGGATTGACACCTGTCCTCAGAGACCATGATACACACTGACACAGAGCAGAATAGAGACTGTTCCCCTACATAGGGTCACTTGGCAGATATGGATTGACACCTGTCCTCAGAGACCATGATATACACTGACACAGAGCAGAATAGAGACTGTTCCCTCCTACATAGGGTCACTTGGCAGATATGGATTGACACCTGTCCTCAGAGACCATGATACACACTGACACAGAGCAGAATAGAGACTGTTCCCCTACATAGGGTCACTTGGCAGATATGGATTGACACCTGTCCTCAGAGATCATGATACACACTGACACAGAGCAGAATAGAGACTGTTCCCCCTACATAGGGTCACTTGGCAGATATGAATTGACACCTGTCCTAAGGATTCCTGATACACACTGACACAGAGCAGAATAGAGACTGTTCCCCCTACATAGGGTCACTTGGCAGATATGGATTGACACCTGTCCTCAGAGACCATGATACACACTGACACAGAGCAGAATAGAGACTGTTCACCCTACATAGGGTCACTTGGCAGATATGGACTGACACCTGTCCTCAGAGACCATGATACACACTGACACAGAGCAGAATAGAGACTGTTCCCCCTACATAGGGTCACTTGGCAGATATGGATTGACACCTGTCCTCAGAGCCCCTGATACACACCGACACAGAGCAGAATAGAGACTGTTTCTCCTACATAGGGTCACTTGGCAGATATGGATTGACACCTGTCCTCAGAGACCATGATACACACTGACACAGAGCAGAATAGAGACTGTTCCCCCTACATAGGGTCACTTCGCAGATATGGATTGACACTGTCCACAAAGACAAGCTGCAGGCTTCCTGGCAGGGCCCATACAAGGTGGTAGAGCAGGTTTGTGATACCACCTTTGTGATCGGTGCGGTCACAGGCACGGGAGGCAAGCGCATGCTCCATGTGAACATGCTCAAGCCATACCACGAGCGCACGGAAGAGGTAACCGCGATCTGTGCACCTGCCACTGAAGATTATGATAATTTGCCACTCCCAGATCTCCTAGACCTAGAGGGCCAGAGCGGAGACCTGGGAGAAGTACAGTTATGAGAACGGTTAGACCCCAGGAGCGAACCCAGGTCCAAAGACTAATCCAGGACAAGGGGGCCATGTTTTCCAACCTACCTGGGTACAGTCCGTTAACCACTCACAAAGTTGAAACCCTAGACCAGACCCCCCTTCGCCAAACCGCCTATCGCATACCCGAAGCAGTTAAAGAAAATATTCAGAAAGAAATTGAGGAAATGATGCAGTTAGGGGTGATAGAACACTCTGACAGCCCCTGGGCCTCCCCAGTAGTACTAGTACCGAAACGGGACGGCACGACCCGTTTCTGTGTAGACTACCGGAGGCTAAACGATAAAACAACCTCAGACGCCTCGTCTATGCCCCGGATAGACGAGCTCCTAGACAAAATGGCCAGAGGCCAGTACCTCACCACAATAGATCTGTGTAAGGGGTACTGGCAAATTCCATTAGCCGAGGACGCCATCCACAAGTCGGCATTTGTCACCTCGTTTGGCCTGTATCAGTTTAAGGCCATGCCATTCGGGATGAAGAATGCCCCGGCTAACTTTCAGAGGATGGTAGATCGGCTACTGGATGGGTTTCAGGAGTATGCCTGCGCCTACTTTGATGATATAGCCATTTTTAGCTGCTCCTGGCCCTAACACCTGACCCACATAGGAGCCGTACTAGACCGGATTAGGGAGGCCGGACTGACCCTAAAGCCCAGTAAGTGCCATATAGGAACACGTAAAAACCTCCCCAAGATAGTAGTATGGGCCCCAGAGTGTGAACAGGCCTTCCAACAGCTCAAGACGGCGCTCATTAAATCACCTGTACTTTCTGCCCCTGATCCAACTAAACGCTTTCTCGTCCATACAGACGCTTCTATGTTTGGATTGGGAGCAGTACTGAGCCAAGTCGGAGCAGATGGCGGCGAGCAACCCGGGGCTTATCTAAGCCGGAAACTTTTGCCCAGGGAAGTAGATACACTGCCATTGAAAAGGAGTGCATAGCGGTGGTGTGGGCCCTCAAAAGCTGCAACCTTACTTGTATGGACAACCGTTTACCTTACTCATAGATCACAACAAATTTGGGGCACTGCGCGTGCAATCTAATGTGCCACCAGATAGGAGTGGTGTGTTTAGTACTATTGTTATCAGTTTAATCACTGTTACGTCCCCTATCCGCTGATGTGGAGCAAGACGCAGCAGCAGAAGAGGACTCAGCCGAGGAGGTTATGGAAGAGGATGGAGTAGGAGGAGTAGAGGAGTAGAGGAGGTGGCAGCAGGCCTGCCTGCAAGTCGTGGCGGTGTCACCAACTCCTCTGCAGAGCCACGCATTCCATGCTTGGCAGCCGTCAGCAGGTTTGCCCAATGCGCAGTGTAGGTGATATACCTGCCCTGACCATGCTTTGCAGACCAGGTATCAGTGGTCAGATGGACCCTTGCCCCAACACTGTGTGCTAGACATGCCATTATTTCCTTTTGCACAATCGAGTACAGGTTGGGGATTGCCTTTTGTGAAAAGAAATTTCGTCCGGGTACCAGTGAGTGAGTGGTGGCACTGGGCACAGTATCCACTGTGAGCCTGACACACCCGCTGGCAGACAACTAACTGCTATTCAATCTATAACAGTGAAAAAGTTTTTTGTTTTTAAATGCAAGCTATTATGACACCAGATATGAGTGGAACTGTAAACTGGCAGAGTACACGCTGTAGGGCTGACACAAACGCTTTGAGACAACTAACTGCTATTCAATCTATAACAGTGAAAAAAGTTTTTTGTTCTTAAATGCAAGCTATTGTGACACCAGATATGAGTGGCACTGTGAACTGGCAGAGTACACACTGTAGGGCTGACACACCCGCTTTGAGACAACTAACTGCTATTCAATCTATAACAGTGAAAAAAGATTTTTGGTTTTTAAATGCACGCTATTGTGACACCAGATATGAGTGGAAAAGTACACTGGCAGAGGTCTGCAGAGCACACGCTGAATGAGGCCTGACACCCAGACGCTTGCAGACAACTAACTGCTATTCAATCTATTAGAGTGAAAAATTTTTTTTCTTTTTAAATGTCAAGCTTAAGCTATTGTGACACCAGATATGAGTCGTGGCACTGGGCAAATGAGCACAGTATCCACTGTGAGCCTGACACACCCGCTTTAAGGACACTGACTGCTATTCAATCTATAACAGTGAAAACAGTTTTTTGTTTTTAAATGCAAGCTATTGTGACACCAGATATGAGTGGTGGCACTGACTGGGCAAATGGGCACAGTATCCACTGTGATTCTGACACAGAAGCTGGCAGCAGTGGCAGACAACTAACTGCAGTTACATTACACACAAAAAAAAAAAGAAAAAGCAGACTGATGTTCTAGCCCTAAAAAGGGCTTTTTGGTGTGCTGTCCTTACAGCAGAGATCAGATGAGTCCTTCAGGACTGTAGTGGACACTGTATACCCTAACCTAGCTATGCATTTCCCTATCTAATCAACAGCAGCTACACTTTCCCTCCTCTCACTAAGCATGCAGCTTGAGAATGAATCTAAAATGGATGCTGTCCAGTAGGTGGGAGGGTCTGCCAGGGAGGGTGTGCTGCTAATTGGCTGGAATGTGTCTGCTGACTGTGAGGTACAGGGTCAAAGTTTACTCAATGATGACGAATAGGGGGCGGATCGAACCGCGCATGTGTTCGCCGTCCGCGGCGGACGCGAACACGCTATGTTCGCCGGGAACTGTTCGCTGGCGAACATTTCGGTGCATCACTACTGACTGGCACCCTTCCATCCCGACATTGCCAAATGCCCCCCTGACTTACACCTGGCCCACCACATGGACAGTTGCAATTGGCAGATCCTGTATTTGTTTAAGTCCCTTTTACCACATCCGACCTGTTTAATTGGAAGACCCATAACTCCTCGTTCACCGATAAGCCCCAAGCCATGATTGAGTTGGTCACCTCTATTATACAGACCCATAATCCCACCTGGGCTGATTGTCAGCAATTATTACTGACCTTTGGAACGTAAATGGCGCTGACATGATCCATCTAAAGGCCTATCAACAAGCCATTATTACTGGCATGAAGGCAGTTGGGAAAAAGGCAATTAACATGTCCAGGACGGCTGAAGTGTTACAAAAAGTTAATAAATCATCCAGTGCTTTTATGAGAGACTGCTTGAGTCAAATAGATTGTACACTCCTTTCAATCCTGAAGCCCCTGAAAACTTCCGAATGATAGACTCAGCATTTGTCAGCCAGGCCCAGAGCGATATTAAGAGAAACCTTCAAAAATTAGAGGGATTTGCAGGGATATCTATATCACAGCTAATGGAGGTTGCAAATAAGGTGTATATGAATAGGGAAACTGAGAGAAAGCATGAGGAGGAACATAAGATGAGGAAGAAAATAGACATGTTAGTGGTAGCTATTTCAGGTGTAGCTTGAGAAGGAGGGAGATGAATAGAGGAGTTGAGAATAGGATGAACAGGGTACCACTAGGTAGAGATCAATGTGCATATTGTAGAGAGGAAGGGCATTGGAAGAGTGACTGCCCACAGAGGGGATATATTGCAGGTGGTAGACAAGAAGAGAGAAGAGGGCGGGGTGGTTATGGTAGCAGCTATAGAGGACGAGGTAGAGGAAGTTTTGGAGGGAGATATTATCCCCCTACCCAGAGATTAAGGGATAGGGAAGATAGAGATTTTGTAGGTCTGGCTGACACTGTCATTGATACCGACCGGGCTCCATCCCACTTGGCCCAGCAGAGCCTACGGCCGATGTATCAATAGGGGGAAAGAGAAGTCCTTTCATGAAATGTTATGAATGTGCTGAACATTCTGTGGTGACCAAATTGGTAGCTCCTCCTTCTGAGAAGATTATAACTGTGATAGGAGCTACTGGGAAAATAGCTGCTAGACCGATTCTCAGGAGTTGTACTTGCATTCTAGGAGGCCATTTTGTGAAGCACCAGTTCCTATATATGCCTGAGTGTCCAATCCAACTTCTAGGACGAGATTTATTATCAAAGCGTTAAGCTCAGATAACTTTTCTACCTAATGGATCAAAGTCTCTGAAGTTTAATAAATCACCTGGCATAATAGCGGTATTGGTGCCAAGAGAAGAATGGCGCTTCTGTTCTGTAATAACAAATGCAAACCCTAAGATTGATGGAACTTTATTTGACATTTCAGGAGTATGGGCAGAAAATAATCCTCCAGGACTTGCTTGTAACATCCCACCGATACATATTGCGTTAAAGCTCGGGGTGTATCCTGTTAGCCTTTGTATGTTGTTCTTTTATCTACCCCAACAGCTGTAAAGGTGGCAGAAGTGACTCCTTGGATTCATCACTCTAAGGTTAAACCAGTGGCAGACTCTCGGCAAGCTACTCCAGATCCTGAGAATCCATGCAAGATCCGGTTGAAGCGCATAACCCAGTTGGATTGAACGTGTCGTGAGAAAAAGTACGAGGGGATATCGAGACATTCTAGTTAAAAGTCTACAGAGATCATCATAGGTGTTTTGACGGCCATAATAAAGCCTGACCACCTGCCTACGTGTCATAAGCCAGAGTGTCTCAAAGAGATCTCTGTGACGGAAAGTGAGGATCAGAAGGACAACAATCCTTGCAGCCCTCACAAGCGGGAAGCTGAGGTGCCGTCGCACGGTAGAAGAATAAGATGAGGACCACAAGAATGATGTGCTTAATTACATGTTTTAGTATTTTTATAATTTTTCAGGAGGGTAAAGTTAAGGATATTCAAAGCTGTGTTAGTTGTATTAAGACTACAAAAACAGGCAATCAAATGTCCCAAACTCTTGTTTGGCACTCAGAGTATGAATGTAAGGGATCTGTATCTAAATGTAGATATTTAGATATTCATTACAGTGTGTGTCACCCAGCAGTAGGAGAGCCTAAATGTTTTGATCCCCAATTCCAACCCCGTACAATTTGGTTGGTAATTCGGAATAGTAACTCCCAGGGGACATTAATAAATAGGACTGTGATAAGCACCATACATTCCACGGGTATTCTATTATTTGATGCATGTAAGGCGATTTCGGGTAGTGGAAAACCTTGGAATGTATGTGGTAATCTGAAATGGGAACAGACTTATGGGTTTGACAATAAATATTTATGCCCTAGCAAAAGATCTACTGATCCTGACTGCCCAAATAGAGACTTTAACTTCTGCCCCTATTGGTCATGTGTAGGTTGGTCGACCTGGGGAAAGACAGTAGATCAAGATATGATTATCCAAAGGTTGCCCACTACACCGTATTGTAAAACTATGGAGTGTAACCCCGTTCACATGACCATTTCCAATCCGCAGCACTTTATTGACGAGTTCGGAAATCTATTTGGGTTCCAAATATACGGAACAGGATTGGATACTGGGGCTATTATATATGTAGGCACAGTAGCAACCCAGACTCATCAGGTTTCTCATTCCTTCTATGAGGAGATGAGTGTTGAGGATAAAATTGCCCATAATGTTAAGAACCTATTTATTGATTTGGCTGAGAGTATTGCATATTAGTACCTCCACTAACTGCTTTGTATGTGGAGGTACTAATATGGGAGACCAGTGGCCATGGGAAGCAAAGGAAGCATGGTACCCTGGTTCTGAGACAGATGAACAACAGATACTTTCTCAGTCTGATCATCAAGTAAGTACCAGAGGTAAATCAGAGTGGCGGTTAAAAACATCTATCATAGGCCATGTATGTTTAGCTAGAAGAGGGCCAATGTATGTATGATACACCTGTTGGTGAGTTAACCTGTTTAGGACAGAAGGCCTATAATGCTGATCCAAAAGATACTACTTGGTGGTCAGCTTCAAATGTCTCAGAACCTACTAATCCGTTTGCCAATTACACCAATTTGAAAGAGGCATGGTTTGATTTATCTGCTACATCCAATAGGAAAGCCCCAGCAAATCTATACTGGATTTGTGTTAAGAAGGCATATTCAGAGTTACCACAAGACTAGGAAGGGGCATGTGTGCTAGGTATGCTCAAACCATCCTTCTTCTTGTTGCCAATTGAAACTGGAGAGACCTTGGGAGTTAAGGCTTATGATGTAAATCATAAAAGGGAGCGAGCATCTTTGAATATAGGTAGCTGGGAAGATTAGTGGCCTCCCCAACGTATTATTAATTATTATGGACCTGCTACTTGGGCAGAAGATGGTACTTATGGATATAGAACTCCAATATATATGCTCAACCATATTACAAGACTACAGGCAGTGGTTGAGATTATCACCAATGAGACAGTGCAAGCACTCTACCTCTTAGCAAAGCAGAATACCCGGATGCGATCAGCCATATACCAGAATAGGCTAGCCCTTGATTACTTACTAGCAGTAGAAGGAGGTGTATGCGGGAAGTTTAATCTAAGTAACTGTTGTCTGCACATAGATGGCAGTGGCTGAACTTACCAGTCACATGGTTAAACTTGTGCATGTACCTACTCAAGTCTGGAGTGGGTATATCCCAAGTAGTTGGTTTGGAAGTTGGTATGAGCAGCTTGGAGGGATT